TTCCATGCCAAATAAAGTATTTTATGTCAACGATATAGAGAACAAAAAGTGTTGGGTCCTTAGGAATATTTTGGTACACGTCAACAGTTCTTGCAAGTGTTAAGTTTAACATTTGTAGCTGTTTATAACCAAGTCTTACACAAAGCTTTACAATTGCTAGACTATGTTAACTGGGCTCACCACTCAGCATATTTGACAGAGGTCATCTAATAGTCTCCCCAATTCTGCAACTTCTATAACTCAGCTGAATTGTATTATTAGAGACAGCTGTTTAATATTGCATTTTAAGATTCTCAATCAACAGAAAGTCATTTGTTAGGCAGAAAAGTACAAATACTGTTTCCTGTTGCTCAAGAGTTTGACTAGTCATCTTGGTAGTCACCAAGGTGATATGTCCAGTAAAGCAACTTCCTCAAGATACAGACACTAAATTTTCAACTGATTCAGTGTTCAATTACATCCCCATATTCAGTCCACCCACTCACAGTCTGAGGTTCTCATAACTTTAATTCAAGATGGATTTTTCCATTTTTTAATTTCCCAGAGTAACATTTCATATTCTCTTGTGTGCCACCTCCTCTACTGATCACTTACCAATGTATGTTTCTTTTTTATGGATACATTCATTAGCATTTAAGTTCCAGCCAAGACACCAAAATTCTTCACACTATAACTTCAATTCATAGGTTCCAAGGCCAGAAGGGACCACAGTGATCATCTAGTCTGACCTCCTGTATAACAAAGGCCAGAGAATTTCCCCCAAAATAATTCCTAGAGCAGACCTTTGTGAAAATCATCTAATCTTGACTGAAAAAACTGTCAGTGAGGGAGAATCCACAAACCTGAGTATGTTGCCCCAATGGTCAATGTACACCTTATTTCCCGTCTGAATTTGTCTAGCTTCAACTAACTACAAGCCACTGGATTATGTTACACCTTTCTCTTCTAGAGCCCATTATTATATATTTGTTTCCCATGTAGGTACTTATGGACTGTAATCAAGTCACCCCTTAATCTGCTCTTTGTTAAACTACATAGATTGGTCTCCTTGAGTCTATATTTCTTGTGGCTCTTCTCTGAAGCCCTCTAATTTATCAACATCCTTCCTGAGTTGTGGACACTAGAACTGGACACACACTTCCAGTAGTGATCACTGCAGTGCCAAATACAGAAGTAAAATAACCTCTCTACTACCTAAGATTCCTGTTTATGCAGCCCAGAATCACATTAGCCCTTCTGACCATCACAGACCCAAATTTATGCCCATATAAGCATGAACAGAATTTGGATCTTTACAAAGTTAAACTGAGTAGAGAGAATTCTATCAGTCTCCATTACATTGTACATCTTTAAGTTTACTGATGAAAATTTCTCTGCTCCTCTGTTATTTCTTTCAAAGTAATATGCCTATTTTTAAGATAAGACTTTGCTTAAAACTGGACTGCAGAAAAGCTTTGCCACCTCTGTGCTACACAACAGACAAACTGGACCACTTCAAATTAAGATGGTCACAATGTTCTTGGGAATTTTTTTTTTAATGCATTGCTTTAAAAAGGCAAGCTCCCTGTTTACAGTCCTCTCAGCAATCTTAACAAAAATCTCAATTTTAATAATTGCATTTAAGCATTCAGCCCTTTGTTACTACAGCAGCCACACTGATGCTAACACTTATTTGCAAAGTCTGGGGAAAATGAGTGCGCAATCAAAATGTTGAACTTCATGCCTAAACTTAAGCAACATCCTTTAAGCATTTTGCTTATTAATTGGCCACAGCATCACCCTGGCCTGTATGTTATTAAGTCTTTAAGAATGCATTCCTTCCCACCTCACCCCCCAACTTTGAGTACATGGAGATAAAGATCTCTGTCCAATAATGGGCAGCACTGACGTGCTTTGAAGAGATTTTTTTTTTTTAACTTTGCCAGGAGAATGAAGCTGTGACCTGGAGCATGAGGTAAAAAGGGAAATAGGGAATACATGCATATACACTCTCTTCGCTGTCCCCAGCAGGGCCATAGGTAAACAAAGTTAAAAAGCCAATACATATTAATTTCTTTGCCACAGGTAAACAGAAGGGTGCTCAAAACATTAGTTTCAGTTGCTTCTGGACTCCAATTCATCATGAGGTCAATAGTAGCACACCAACACACATACTTTGTTGACGAGCTTACAAACAAGCAAGATCCTTTGGGTTTGTTACACCAAATAGAATACTTGGTCCTTTTTGTTTGTCTAGTGGAGTAAGACTATTAATGCTGTCATTTTCAGTAACTGGGGAAAATCTGCCATGGGCCATCTAGTACAGCTGACTACTTCTACGGCTGTCAACATTCCATACTGCAAAAGCTATCTATCACAGGAAGTGTGCCTCACTGTGGGCACACTAATGGATTTCCACTTTGGCTGTTAAAAAGCATGTATAATTTTGCTGTCATTGTAGATGCCTGCCTAACACGATGAGCAAGAGGATAGTCTCATTCTCACAAGAAAACTCACTCTGCACAAATGCTATTATCCTCATGGACTTTTCTGGTATTTGTGCACTGGTCAACTTGTTTTGAGCCTATTTCTAAAAGAGCCAGACACCCCAGATAAGTCTCAACGTCACTATTTACATCGCCCATCCATGCAAATCCCTAGAGCAAAGATGAGGTCTCTTTCAAACTGCACCTCCTCCCCCACAACCTTATCAAGCGGAAAGAACCAATTTTTTACCGAGTGCTGGGCATTCACACACACATACACATGCAACCTCCCTCATGGCATTTGCTTAGATGTCCCACGAATAAAGCCGAATTCTTACACACCTAACCCGGACTCCCCTTCATCTTTCCAGCGGTGAGTCTGCATTTTCCTTTCCAGCCCACTCCTTTTGTAGACATCCAGATGAAACAAGTAACCAAGGCTGATGTCCTCGCTATCTCCTCCTCGGGCCTGTTAGCTGGGGCACGATGAGGGAGGGAGAGACTCGCCAGAAAAGGGGAGCTGCAGCTGATGTTCTGGGGGGAGTAACCACAGCCGGAGCCTCATCCCTGCCGCCGCCCAGAATCTGGGGCGGGGTGTTACACTGGGCGCCTCGGCCACTGTTTATTCATTCGCCTTGTAGTCAGCAGGCAGCCCTTCCCCCTCCGCCGTCCCCAGCGGCAGCCGCAGCAGGCATGTGGTGGGTGCCCCCCGGGGGCACTAATCCCTTCCGAGGCGCAGCCTCTATCGCTGGGGAGTTAATGCCTCCGGCATCAAAGCTGCCATCGCCACATCACAGCTTACGCCACAGAACGCGCATTATTCCGCAGCTCCCTGGAGTGCAACTGACTAGGTACCGAGGGGAGATACTGAGGGAGGAAGAGGCGGACTCCATTTTTATCCCAGCAGCCTGTCAACAAGCTCCCCCCCTTTTCCCCTCCCCAGTCTCCAAAGCACAGCGAGACTTTCCAGCTCGGAGGCAAGCTAGCAACACATGAGCAGCAGCAGCAGCCCGGCTCCTTCCAGTGCTCCTCCTTCGTGCAAGGCAGGGAAATCCCTTAACGTTTCTACTTCCCGCTGAAAACACGGTTTTGAAATTTTCCCTCTTCCACCCATCTCCCTAACCACCGTCTAGAAATGCAGCGCAGATACACAAGGAGTGGAGTTCATTGCTATTAATAGTAGTGCCATCCACACCCTACATACATAGCAAACATCACCCCATTGTGTGCAAATTTAACCTTTACGTTAGCAGGAGCCTCGAACATGCCTCCTCTTTCCCCCTTAAATCCACGAACTGCCTTCCCTTCCATCTGAGGGGGACTTTCTCCCGTCCTAAAAGTTCAGCAGTGAAATACGATGCAGGGGGTTAACCCATCAGCTGGCCATGGTAGGCTGTCCTTTCGTGTCTGGCGTCTACTTTAAGGTTCTGCTTCTGTTTCCAAGTTGCAAGTGACATGTGTTTTCTTACTAACGTCATAAATACTTACACCTGTCACCAGTCGAGCCACAGTTTGCTACATCACAGAAACATGGCCTTAATGCTTATTAAACTAGGCCGGTCTCCACAATTTCAGATGAACATTTATTTCTGATTGTGTCCTAACTTTTGTAAGTGACTAGTATGCCGACTGAGGTTTGTTAGTTCACCGTTAGTGACTGCGATATCACCCCTGTAATTATTTTCCAATATCCGAGTGAAGTGAAAAGCAGCATGGTCGTAGTCAAAGGTCATAACTTACTGTAGCGACGGTTGTGTATGAATAGTCCCCTCCTTTTTATTCACGGGGGTTGGAGTAGAAGCTTTTTTGTGTGTCTGTCATTCTCTAACACAGCTAACTATGACAAAGGCTGCAATTCAGATTTCTCCGTGTGACATGCTCTATAGTAAGCTCTGCCATTTACACTGACGTATACCTTAATAATAGGGAGCACACAACTGTCTCCTTAAAAAGAGACATCCGAATACTCTAGATTGCAGTCATGTATAAAAATGGATACTGTAAAATGTATGCAATCCTGTACACGAATCTCTAGGAGATCTCTTACACCCCTCCTCCTAGATACACGACTATAAATGCAAGAGATTCATAGAGAGTTGCTTTCTTGGGGAGGGAAAGAAAAGCCTCTCCCAATAAGCTACCGGTTTACATTTCTCACAAAGCCAACTCCAAAGCAGCGAATCATTCCCACTCCCTCTTGGGGGGAGGAAAGAGAAAAGAGACTTTTCACCACCTCCTCCAAGCTGGTGCAAATCTTGGCCTCCCAGTCAGCCTCCCCACCCCATCCACCATCAAAATCTCTCCAGTCCCAAGGAAACAAGTACACTCACCGGATCGGAAAAACGCCGCGATGTCTGCAGAGTCTTTGGACGCCTCCTCAGCCCCTTCCCCAGCGTTGCTGCTGCTGCTGGTCGTGGAGGTGGTGGTAGTGGAGCTGCTCATGGCTGCTGCGTGCAGTGGCGGCTCCTCCAGACAAGATCCCACCACCACCACCACCCTGATCCACTCACTGCTCCCCCGCTGGTGCCTGGGAAGAGGAAGGTGTGTCTGTGTTTTGTCTTCAGGTCCCGGCTTCACCTTCTAGCAGCAGCCGACGCGGAAATCCAGGCAGCAGAGTAATGCACCGAGATGGGGGTGGCTGCCGGTGGCAACAATAAATAGAGGAACATGAAGGTATGCGTGCAATTGCAGCTCTACAGGAGTCCCCCCCTTCATCCCCCAGCAGCCACCTAGGGGGCTGTGTGTGAACGCACAGATTCAATGCATGCGGGCAAGAGACAGGGGGAGCAGAAGCAGAGACAATTGCAGGAGGAAAGGGGTGGGTGCATGGAGGGGGGTTGCAATCAGTGCAGCAGGAAGCTGGTGGGAGGGGAAACAGGGGTGTTGCAGCCTCTTCAGGGATCAGGAGCAGCAGCTGCAATAGCAGCGGTGGTGTCCGCAGCAGCCACCATCCTCCATCTTGGTTTCAAGTGGGGTGGGCGGGGGAGAGGGGATCAGGGAAGAGAATCCCCGCCCAGGGCACAAGGGCGTAAGGAAAAAGGGGAGAGAGCGGAGGGGAAGCCTCGGCGATCTCCGGCTCGTCCCGTCTCTGCTCGGCACTGGGCGGCTCCCGCTGCTGAGGCGGCTTCTCATTGGCTGCCCGCGGGGGCGAGCGCAGGGCTGCCCGAGGCCGGGGATCCCCGCGTGCGAGGGGCGCCGGGACACCCCCTGCCCGAGGAGAGAAACCCCGCAGCGAGCCCTGGCGGCGCGTGGCTCGGGCTGGCGGGGCGCAGCCTCCCCCGCTCCCGGCTCTGTCTGTCCGACGGGGAGGGGCCGCTTGCGCGCTGTGCGCCCAGCAGGTGGCGCCAGAGCCGCAGCTCCAGGCGGGGGCGGGGCCCAGCCCCGCGGGATCGCAGCTGGGGCGGACTCAGCCTCCACATCCCAAAAATATTTTCCCCAGTAGCTATGGGGGAGGCGGGACCAGCCCCATGGGGGGGGGGGGAGAGAGCCCAGCAACCTCCTCCTGCTGTAGGAAATGTATGAGCAAAGCAAGGGAGGACACCCGACACCCTCTCCCAGGGCAAAGGGCAGAGTTCATCACTTTTCGCCCCACGCCCACCACCTGAAATGTGGGTGAAGGCACCCAGCCCCCCTTCACAAAGTAACTCTGCAACACTCATCCCCCAGTCACTTGTGGTATCTAGATCAATAACGCATATAGATAAGATTGAGAACATCATTGTCTTCCCTTGGTTGTGTTTCTCAAAGCTGTTTGTGTTGACCATCTCTGTTGAGATTATTGTTTTCCAAACTGCATTGATTCTATCTTTTAATTATATATGTGAATGTGAATGTTTTGGAACTTTATAAATGAAGAAAATCCAGTGAGTTTATTTCTTGAATTTGTATTTGTCATTTGATTTTGCCATTTCCAGCCATTTATATTTAACGGCAACATTGTAGAATTCCAGACAGGAATAGCTAAGATTGCATCCAATGCAAAGCTCACTTTTGACCACTACAACACCTAGGCAATTCCTCTAATCAGTTCAGAGGTTTCCCATCAAACTGAAAATTAGCTCCATGAATGCATTATTGCATGGAACGGAAAACACATGCTGAGACATTTGGGGCTTCCACAGTTTTGAAAAATGCATGCCACTTATCAGCAGGTCCAGCAAGAATGTCATCTTTCATTAGAGCTAGGACACCAGTACTTAAGAGACAGATCTCCCTGTAGAAATCATCCCCATCCACGACAGTAGCAGCACTCCATTTCAAAAGGTCTTGCAGCTTCATTAAATCATCAAATGCTGGCACTTCCTTGAAGTTTAGGCATGAAAATGTCTTAAATGGAGAGTCTTTGAAAGAAAACCATTTCTCCAGATAAGCTACTGCTCAATTGTACATAGTCTTTGCTTCATTTCTGAACTTTTCCTGGGCTTCCCTTGGCAAGTGTGGCAAAGCTCTGTTCACCTGATAACCGAAAAACTCATCCTTTGCTCTGTCAATCAGCTGGCTTCTAACATCCGACATCAGATCAAAAAGTTCTGTGGCATTCGTAGAATCCTTTTCAGGAATGGAAATTGACTTCTGAAAGATGGCCATGACAAAATGCAAACAAAATAAATGTAGTACTCGGGAAGTGTCACCTTATCATTTAACTCATGCTCCTGATCTCCGATGAATCTCCAGATCAGCCTGTCACAGTCCAATTCCTCAAGATCCAAGAAATACACCTTGATAGCTTACCAGTTCAACATAAGAGGAATTCTGGCAGAATACCATCAGCGTCTGCAGCCTTCCCTTTTTTCATCACGCCAAGTCCTTCTTTTACTTCCTCAATGCTGACACTGGAAGGTTCTCCTCTAGGGATTGATGCAAGTGTCCAGTAGAATTGTTGATACACTCCTCTATCATCTTGGCCCCAAAGGATTCCAGTGGCTGGCAACATTGTACTCTGCTACCTTCAGGACAGTACAGATCCCTGAAATATGGTGTGAGGCAATGGTAATTGCCATTCTGAAGTCTGGGAAGCCCACTAATTAAGCAGGAAATTAAAGGCCAATTTCTCTACTATGCATAATCTATAAACTTCCTGAACATATCATCCTCAAAATAATACACCCTTTTACTGAGCCAAGTATCCCTCTCGAACAGGCTGGCTTCCAGCCAAATCGTAGTTGTCCCGGCCAAGTTATGGCACTTACAAATCACATTGAGGCTGGCTATCAGAAAAAAATAAAGACTGACACAGTATTTATCGACATGTCATCTGCATATGACACTGTATGGATTAAGGGCCTGATGCTGAAATGTGCAAAAATTATACCTTGCTACCAAACACTTCGCCTGCTGTGGACCATGCTAACAGACGACTATGGATGTACCCGGGTAATAAGACCAGCTCACCCCGTATCATAAATGGGCTACCACAAGACTCTGTACTCACACCAACCCTTTTAAATATTTACATAAGTGGCATGCGTCTAACTAAATCATGAACATTTGGATATGCAGGTGATCTTGCGATACCAATCCAAGCACCAAACCTGCATGACATTGAGAAAGCATTAACTGAGGGACTCTGAACTACAGAACAATACTTCTGGAAATGGAGGCTCAAACCAAACCCTGGAAAAAATAATAGTAAGTGCATTTCATCTTGATAATCGGAGTGCCAAAAGCACACTCAAAGTAGCTTTGTGTGGTAAAAATGTGCAACATGATTACATCCCAACATACCTCAGAGTGAAATTCGACCGCACCCTCACCTTCCATGATCACCTTGAGAAGGTAGCTACAAAGATAAAAATAAGACTCAACATAATCCAGAAACTAACAGCTACAACCTGGGGTGCATTGGCATTAGTGTTGTGAACATCTGCAATAGCATTTATATATTCGGTAGCTGAATATTGTGCACAGGTAAGGATCAGATGCAGCCACATGTGACTTGTTGACACCCAACTGAGTACAGTGATGCGGTCCATCACTGGAACCCTTAAGTTGACTCCAACACCATGGCTACCTGTTCTGTCTAACATTGTTCCCCCACGATGTTAGGACAGGATATGCTGAACTGCTGCAGCACTCTGCGAAGCTCAGCGAATCCAGGAAAACAGATGTCTTCCTATCCACCAAGACCTTGACAATGCCCCACCCCTCAACGTCCTATGTCCCGCAAACCTTTCTGGAAACATTAACTTAGCCTCATGCAATCAGGCTGTGATCAGAAGGAGGCTTGGAAAGCAGATTGGGCTAAACAAGACTTAAAAAATAAGCACCTTGTGCCGGATCCCATGCAGAAGGTGCCTGGGTTCGACCTCCCATGGTGTTCTTGGTCTACTCTGAACTAACCATGGTAGATGCAGACATCTAATGCACAAATGGAAAATCAAGGACTCCCCAGTGTGCCAGTGTGGCTCTCCATGACAGACCATGGAACATATCACCACCTACTGCCCAATTTATATATATGAAGGAGGCATTACTGCAATAAATTCTGCCACTCCTGATGTAGCCATTTGACTCAATTAACTTCAAGTGAAACTGTAGTTGCTGCTCTCCAGCAGCCATATGAAAGAAGAAAAAGAAGTTCAACAGACGCCTTTCAGTTGTAGTGAAGAGGGTTAACCAGCGAATGGGCACATGCAAAAGTACTTTCTGATACTCTTGATCCACAAATTCAAAGCAGGATTTGAGACGTTCTACTTTTTTTGCACTGCATGAAAACTCATTGAAAATCTTCAAAACCAAACCTTCCATGCCAAAGCTGAGGGCTTTCATGCAGTTTTTTGCTGCATTGTTTAAAACATAACAGTTGCAATTAGCTTGGATTTTCAGTGGTTGAACAGCTTTGAGTTCAGCAAACACAGAACAGTTCTTACCATAATTCACAGATGCGTTATTGGCTCCACAAGTACTGACATATTTCAAGTCCAACCCAAGCTCATTTATGGCATTAATTATGCCTCCTGAAATCAACTCCGATGTCTCATCTAGTTCTTCATAAAAATCCAAAAGGATGTTGTTTATGTCTCTTCCGATATTTAAAAAAAAATACCAAGTAACCGAAGGGAAAAACTTCCGGCTTCCTTCATTTGAAGCATAAGTAACAACTGCAAAGGTCTTTTAGCTTTTATACTGCTGTTTCCAAAGAAAACACATTCTCAACTAGACTTTTGATTTTTGTTCCTTTCAGCTTCATTTTATTTGCCACAGCAGAAGCTGTATATAACTAATTAGCTGCCACAGTCATTGACAAAAAGCTGTGGTTGTGCTTCACTTCATGAAAGACATAGGCCAATTCACTTGCAGCCACAGAGTCATCTTTAACTGTGTTTCCCCATGAGAAAAATGTTGATATGCATGCATAGGCGCCAACTCTGTGGGTTCTCCAGGGCTGACGCACCCATGGGGAAAAAATGGTGGGTGCTGAGCACCCACCGACAGCCCCCGTATCAGCTCCTCCCGCCCCCAAGTGCCTCCCACCCGCCAGTGGGCCCCGCGGATCAGTACCTCCCACTCCCTCCCCACACCTCCTACCCACTGCAATCAGCTGTTTTGTGGCATGCTGGAGGCTCTGGGAAGGAGGGGGGAGGAGCGAGGACGTGGTGCACTTGAGGGAGGGGGTGGAACTGGATGGGAAGATGCGGGGTGGGGGTGGAGCGGGGACGGGAAGAGATGGGATG